AATTTATTCACACACAAAGCATTTTATCATGAGAAGATATTACAACATCCTACTTACACTGAAGGCTCTGGAAAACAAACTACCAAGTTCATACGGTCTATTCCCCTGGGCCTCATAATGACATCTTTTGTTTTATGCTGAACTTTAAATTTTAAATGTTGGGACATTTGTGAGTTCTTCGGATGATTTCAAACTGGACAGAGTTATAAAATTTATCTACAAGGTGCAAGTAATTATATCAAACCGCAACACATCATTATAAAAGGAAGAGAATACTATAGAAAATTTATTTCAAGTTTGTTTTGTTATAATTATATAAGCTACAGATATATCTAAAAGCTGTAAGCTATATTTCTTGGCTTTTTTGGCAGGCATGAGTATTTTTCTCAGACATGACCAACATGAGCATAACTGAGGGTGCACAGGAAATCCAGCAGTAGAAAATATGAGAGGAGAAAATAAGTAAGTAGTAAGAAAAAATTATAGACATTTCTGAAAATTCAAGAATCACTCATGCTGAATAGTTAGAGGTTTTCAGATGCTAAGTTGTTGACGTTATGCAAGTATTTGCTCGTTTCATCCGATTGTCCAGACAACCAGACTACAGGACTAAATGTAACCCTGGGTTCCAATCATTTACTGTGCACCAGCAGTGCATCTTACACAAAGAGCAAATTATGTTCATTTCACACAAAGTCTTATTCTTATTCTTATTGTTGCAGGCATCTTTGAGATTCCAAATTCATGAGTTCCCTTATACACCCAAAGAGAGCATGTACTGTAAGTTCCACTTACATTTGAAAACATTATCCTGAATATACAGTGCTTCATAAGAACAGGGATATACATCAGCCACAGGATTTTCTTGATAAAGGAAAAAACAAGCAGATTATCTTATGACGAAGTGTACGGCGACTAGAAGGATAATTACTTGCACTGCAAGTGAACACCAAGATTTACCAACAAGAGATATGCCATGTATGCTTAGGTGGAGTCAACCCATCCATTCGTAGAGTGTTCCCTCCACATCCAAAACTTCATCCAGTTCCGATGCCATGGAATTGAGCAAAGCCAATGTAGCCGTTACATCTTCTTTTTCACATCCTGTGTCCATCTGGGAATCAACACTTGAGTCTGCTGACAACTTGTGGTTTTCATCAGAGCTTTCTTTGCAAAGTGAATCTGGTTTATTTAAATGATCTTGCAAAGATAAACTAGACACGTGGTTGTTGACAGAACTGGTAGAAACTGATGTATGCGTTCTTGTTGAAAGAAGTGATGATGAGGATGAAGTTTCAGTCTTGGGTGACAAAGAATTTGAAGAGCAATTTCTTGAAGATGGAGAATAACTTACACTTAAAATAGAGGAAATTTTAGAAGACGCCTCAGAAACAGCATTATTCATACTATTGACAACGTCATTTTCAGTAGTTGATGCCACAAAATCTGTAGTTTCATCAGAAGTGATATCTTCCATCAGAGCATCCTCTGTTGCTGCCTTATCTGATGACTCAACCATCTGCTTTTCCTTTTTGATAATATTAAGGATCTCTTCAGGGTTTTCTGAAATGAAATATCAATTTTGATGAAAAATATGAAACTTATGAGTTATGCAAGTACAATTAAATGATATGGAGACAGTTGGTAGAATCTGCATTGTTAGAGGCTTTGTGCCCCTTGAAACCACAGAATTAAGTTCCAAATAATATTACATGCCACTACACTAAGATTTCCACAACATTTGTGAGAAAGAAAGTTGTAAGCAAAGTAAGGCAATTGACTTTTTTGCTTGCTTCAATTAACATCCAGCAAAAATATGATAAATACCTTTGGCTATTTTCCTTTCATTGGCCAGCAATGAACGTTCATTAGTCAAGAAAACTCTGTAAAGCATGACCATTTCTGCTGAAGGATGTTCCCGCTGCAGGAGAAAATTTTAACACAAATAGCCACATAATTTACTTTAATAACCACTTTAAATTAAATCAGTATATTCATGTATCTAATTCAATGATGCAAGCATGCTCAGACTTCTCAGTGTGCATGCAGGTGAAGTGTGTGTATGTATGAAAGCCGCCAAGACAAACTTCCTCTTAATGAAGCATCAGTTATAGCACTTGGGAAGTTTAGAAAGCATTTAAGAAGCATGAGTTGCTCTGGGCTGTGCCTCAAACAATCCTGTGCATACATTATGCTCTCTAAATTTCCTGAATCCTTCATGTCTCAATGAATGCAGACTAGCGCAGGAGCCCCTTTTTAGCTGAACAGCATAAAAGGTCTCACAAATTTGATGTTTCACTGGTATCCATTTTAAACAGGCAATGATGCTGTTGGTACGACAATATAGCTTGTTCTCTTAAATTCAAAATTTGGTGGAAGCATACATATTCAAAACTATATAACAATATCACTAGCTTTTGACTTTAATTCACCAGTAACCACAGTTTTTAGAGCAAACAATCAAGGTAATCTTCCATTAAAAATTGCAAATCAATTTCTATTAACTGTGCTAGTCAGTTCTTTAGAACCAATGAATAAAGGCTGATAGTTTCGAAAGAAACTGTTTGGGGCTGCATC